GGGGCCGTGTGACCCCTTTCTGGGAGGAAGCTGCCCAGCGGAGAGACGGTTCAGGCGGCGGGTCACTCCGATCCATATCGTCTTTGTGCTCACTTCAATTTTTTTATTATTATTTATATAATCTCTGCCAACAGGCGCTCTTGCTGCAGGAAGATGTCGCAGGAGGTACGAGTGCCCGAGGCTGATAAGATATGGAGTGGGTAGCGGCAGTATCTGGCGTGTCACTTGTTCCGCTTCATGAAAAGGTCAGCAGCAAACCAAGCGTGGTTATCTGAGCGGCAACTTGACTTCAAGTCCAAAACAACTTGTAGCGAGGCGACACATTCGCTTGGCCCACACATGAAAACACATTTGGCCACAAGAATTGCATTGTGAAAAATGTCGTGTGACTCCTCCTCCTCCTCCTCCATAACTGCCCCCTGTCCCGCAAGGTGTCCCGCAGGGCTCCATACGTGGTCCCCTCTTCCTCTCAAATCAAAATCTCTATTTGCTCACAAAAAGGCGAGGCCACCAGAGAACATTTCACCGCCAGACTTGTAAATTCTTTTTGCTTCAGCAGACCAGGTTCCCGTCTGAATGCAGCATTTTGCCATTAAAACGCTATTGATCACAACAGTAAAAAAAAATCTTACATCCCCCTATTATTTGTTGGTTGTTGATTTATTTATTTATTTATTGTCTTTTTCGTGTGCAGGTGGGACCAAAGCAGCAGGGAAGAAAATGTCAGGACGATGTCAGGTTTAGCTCGCAGTGGAATGTCAGCACTCTGGAGAACACGCACGTACGTACACACACCCACACACTACACGTCTGACAGACGAGGGGGATTTATGTTGCCCCTCGGGAATGGTCCCGAGTGATGTGTCTCACAGTCTCTTTATAAGGTCACGTTTGAATGTCACTGATTGACAGTAGCACAAAATGGACACTCAGTCGCGTGTGTGTGTGTGTGTGTGTTGTGTGTGTGTGTGTGTGTGTGTGTTACAAGTGCCCGCATACAGTTGTCTGCATCAAGGTTGACTTCAAATGTTAACAATAACGCTCGTACATGCTACTAAAATGTAGATGAACACGCGTATGGATTTATGAGGTCATACATGACTAAAAATGTGCATCTAGCTGTTGCTTGAGATGCATCGTGCTCATAAAGATGCTACTCAAGGCGCCGCGCAACGTGAGCCCAAATATGCAAAGTCATGATGTCATTGAAGAGGGAAACAAATGCACTATATAAACACTCCTCGAAACCAAACACGCTAACGTACATGCTACCAAACATGCTGGTAAATAAATACATACATTGAACACGTAGAATTACATTGATGTACATGCTGGTTTTTAAACATGCTACTCAAATAAAGAGGCCAAAAAATGAGGACAAAAAAAGTTCTCGTAAACACCTGCAGAAATATGCTGTTAAACATCCAAACGAACACGTTAGCAAAGTTGTCAAGGAACATGGTTAGCAACAAGCTATTACTCAGCTTGCGCCCAAATAAGCATGCTCCAAAACATCCCACTGCGCATGCTCTTTCACGCGCTGTGCTCATGCTACCAAACATGCTAATACAAACAGGCAAACGACATGCCACGAAACACGCTGGCAATCTCATCTTGCTAGCAAATATGCAAACACGTCAACTTACCTGCAAATAAAGATGCTCCTCCACATGCTAATTCACGTGCTGATTGATATCTGTGCTGCTTCAACGTGCTCCTAAAAAAACAACCGAAGTCTGCCGGAATCATCCTGCTGAACGTGTCAGTGAAGATTTTACCAAGATAAAATACGACGGTGCGTCCCAATCCACCTGTTACTCAACATGGCAACGGATCGACGTGCCTTTGTGACCGCCATGTTGGTGGGGGCAACGTATCGATAGTGACGGTAAATCAGAACTCGCTTTTTTTCTCAACCGATTTTCATACAAAGCCCAAAAAGTATTTCTTCCTTCTGAGAGGCTATTCCCAGGTCCCTTGTTGTGTGCACGATATGCAGGCATGTGGTCTGCTACACAAAACAGACCCCCATTTTGCCCTAACTAGTTGAGTGTCGCCATGGAAAGTCATATGGCAGTGGGGGCGTGTCCTGCCTAAAAACTGGCGAGGCTTCATTCATACTCTTTCCCTGTCCTTTATTTGTTTGTTTGTTTGTTTGTGTGTGTGTGTGTTTTTTTGTTGTTTTGTGTTTTGTTTTTGTTTTTTTGCCCGGTGCTAATCAAGCACACGGGCAAGCACTCATGGTGACGGTCGCCTGGCAACAGGGCGGTCGTGCTCCTGTTTACTTGAGATGAGATGTTTGTTGTGGCGAGGCTGCGGGGCCAGGACGGCCGTTAAGCTATTAGCAGGTGACGGTGCGTTCAAGTGCCCCGCGCTCACAAATCTATTATTATCCAAAACAAAGCACTCCGCGGACACGCTGACACGCCACCCCAGAGGGTACCGTCTATCGACCCCCGCTCCCGGTCGTCGGACCCCCGGCCGCGGCTAAGTAGCGTTCGCCAACAACTTGTGATAATCAGCACTCTGAAATGCCAGAGCGCGGCGGGGCGACGCTAGGGCGGCGTGCTAGCGCGTGCTAATGGCTAAACAACATGATGTGTCCTTCAGGGGCCGCGCGTAATTATAGCCTAGTGCGCCCGGATGCCTAGCACGTACGCCATCTGGTTAGCCATTAGCTCGGTCTTTAGGCGGTCATTAGCGCTTAGTGGTTGGGTTTTTTTTTTTTTTTTCCGTTAAGGTGGCGCGGTCCCGTGATTGACGCCGTCGACCTCGTTAAAGAGCTAAATGCGGGAAGCGGCCATTGCCGCCTGGCCGCGTTGGTGCGGCAGATCTGACATGCGAGCGCGCATCAGCGTCGGGAACGTTTGTTTCATCACCTCCGCCCAGGAAAACGTCGTGCCTTTGAAGTCTTTGTTTTTCGATTTGATACAAAGTGTGAAGACACTCTCGGTTGAGGTCTCCTGCTAAGCAAGAACACTAGCGTTTGAAAGTTCAAAGACACTGGGAACGGGTTGCAAGTGGCCTGAGGCTTCTCCGGCATCAGCATTGGTTGGTGCCAGCTTGCCAGCTCGCCAAGGTCTGACGAGCTCGACCAAGAAAGTCTTCCTCCAAATATTCGGACACAAAGATGAGGACCGCTGCCGTTGGTCGGCACGAGGCGGTTAGCTTACGTTCGGCTAAGCGTGAGCATCAAGGACCAAAGACAAAAGATCGTTTGCGCGGTTCCATGTGGTACCGCTTTTGTGGTTCTCTTTGGTCCCCGATCAGTGTCGCTATTGGTTCCGGTTCACGGCTGTCTTCATCTTGGGATCGGGGCTCCGCTCGGGGCTCCGCTCGGGGCGGCTCAGCGGTAGGACGCTGGTTTGCCAACCCGCAGGTCGGCGGCTCGATCGCCGGCCGCGTCGTGGCATAGCTTGAGCAACGTCCTGAGCCTTCGGGTGACCGAAGCGCTTTGAGCACACGAGGTAGAAAAACGCCACGCAAGTAACAGCCCGTTTTACCTTTTCGCGTTCCGCTGGTCCCTCCTGGAGAAAAATTGGATCTGAGGCCGCAAGCGAGATGCCTCCCTTCCCCACCGAAGACTTTCCCCAACTTATCCCGCGGACGCCCGTGCCGGAGACAAAAACGCAGGTACCCGGCCAACCCGTGAACGAACCCGCTGGTCGTGTTTGGTTGGGAAGCGTTGTTCTCTTTGGTTCTGGATGTCGGTCATGGTTGTGTTCGGTCGATCGGTTGTGTTCTTTTTCTGCCTACGCGCGTGTTTGTGTGCACCAGTCACTGTGTGCGTCTTCGCCATATTTATTTGATGCGTGGCCATATTTGTGTGTGGATGTCTGCGCACTGTCGTGTGTGCGTGTGTGTGTGTGTGTGTGGGTGTATGTGAGTGTATGTGTGTGCCCGTCAATCTTTCTGGCAACGTGTGTGTGCGTGTGTGTGTGTGCGTGTGTGTGTGTGTGCGTGTGTGTGTGTGAAGTGTGAATTGAAGGAGCTGCGAGCAGATGGGCTCTGGAGATCAGGTTACCTGTTTATAGAGCAGCATCTGTCCATCCTGTCAATCAAAAGCAGACATGAGGGTGGTGCACGGATTGGAAGTGGGGGAAGCAAAAAGGAGGAGGGGAAAGTGGGGAGGGGGGGGGGGCAGCTCAGGTTAAGTGGTACAATCTCCAAGCAGTCACACTCCACATCAGCGGGGGGCAGCATGTTGCCGGAAAGCGCCGGCAAATATTTTTGTTTCTCATTGTCAGTCTCCAAGGAAAGGCGCGCGCATCCACGTCAAAGTAAACAATCCCATCACAATCGTGATTGAACATGCGACTTCATCACGCGATGAAAACACGCTCATGAACGTGCCGTCGAATATGCTCACAGACACGGACCCGACCGGGCGTGCTCGACGACCCGCTCAGAACGCGCTACGACACGTGCGTGGGCAAATGCTAGCCAATGTGCTGAGGAGCATGCTACATGCTACATGCTGTAAAAATCAACAACCCAATCTGCGAATCGAATCCCAGCATGCGTAAATCGACACGCTACTTGAGCCGTTCATAAACACGCTGCCAAACGCGCAGCCGCATTGGCTAACGAACGCGCTAGCTGATATGCTAAGGAACAGGACAGTCAACATACCTGTGCTACGAAGCTTGTTAGTTGACCTGCCGAAATGTGCAAATGAACATGCCGAGCAAATGTCGCTACTTGTCACGCTACCAAGTGACAGTAAACGTGAAAACTCTTGAAAATGCGACGAAACACACGAAAAAAACACAAGCAAACATGCTAGCAAAGGTGCTACTAAATATTCTAGACCGCGTGCTAGCAACATGTTCGATGTACAAATGGTCATGCAACGCATGAACACATATGACGCCAGTAAAAATGCATTGAATGATGCACATAAATATGTACCAAAAAAAAAAAAAAAAAAAACCACAGCAAACAAAAAGCCATGTTATTGAACATGCGACTGAACATTTGGTTGGATGTGCTCGGCTAATAATAGCAACTGCAAGTAAACACGCCAATAAGGTGTCAGCTGCTGGGGGCGTCTTGACGACTTGTTTACGTTCATCTTTTCCATATTGATTTTTTGAGATCGTGCATATATTGGCTCCACTCCTCCCTCCTCGCCGCCCCCCCACCCCTTCCCTCTCCCTCCCCCCCCGCGGCGCGGTCCATCATTATGCGGCTGATTGCCGCGTTTAGCCTGGTAATTGAAATAATGGGAGAAGATTACCAGCATACTTTTAGTCACCGCGTCTAATCCACCAATCAGCTGTCAGCAGGTCAACATACAGCACGTACAGTGCGTACAGCGCGTGCGTGCGTGCGCGCCGAGGAGCTCGTGGCTGCTCCGACAAGGCGGGCGTGCGCGTGCGGCCGCAGGAGAACAAAAGGAAATCGATGCTGGCGCTCCAGATGAAACGTGTGTGTGTGTGTTTTCGTGGCCTGGAGGGAGATCGGCCAATGTTCACATCATCGCCAGGACGGACGGACGGACGGGCGGATGGATGAATGGATGGATGGGAAGGGAGGACGAATGGAGGGACAGATGGGTCATAGACGGGTTGATGGATGTCGTGTTTGCATCATGCTTTTGCTTCCTCATCAAAACGATGAAAGATTCCGCAACAAAAAGGGAAAAAAAAAAAAGCTCAAAGCGCGTTTTTGACTTTTGTCCACGTTGGACTCGGGCGCGCGGTCACGGTCGTCGGAGGTTTTTGGCTCTCAGCGCCGCCCTTCTTCCTCCCCTGCGGGGAGGAAGCTTTTAGCCGCGCGCGGCTAGGTGAGCCTAGCGCCTCTGAAAGGCTCCTGACTGCTCCGCCGAATGCGGACACGCATCGGCGCGTCGTTAAGAGCGCCCGACACCACCGCGAGGTGAGGCCACAGCGCCCGGGAGCTTCAATCTAATTGAGCCACATCCATTTATTTCACATTTGCCAAATATCACGCCTGATGTGA